CACTCCGGCCACTCGTCACCCCTCCCAACCCCCCACTCTGGCCAGTTGCTATCCCCTCTTCTCTCCCCACCCCCACAGGCTGATATCCCCCAAGCCCCACACACGACTAAGATCAGTCAGTTCTGATTGTAGTAGGACCCAATTTATATTTTGTAAGAAAACAGAGAAAGAACCTAGCAGCAAAGGATAACAAAACATGAGAACAAACTAACCAGGATTAAAACAAAAGGACAAATAAATGCAAAAGGCTAAAAAAGAATCCCAGATGTGGTAGCAGTGTTGGGGATGGGGTGCAAAAATATTGATTTGGATGATGTAACACTGGAACAGAGCATTATACCAGTAATAGTTCCACAAATAGGAAATGTATTAACATATTCCTAGATCACTAGGCTTCTTGGTCTAACGTTGGTCTTTCAATTATCTGTCACATTGTCTTTCTTAGGGCCTCTGCACCAGTTTTTTCTAGGTGAGATTGCACAGATAAGCAATACACACATGCAAAATCTTATTCCCCACGTAATACAAAATAATTTCTATTGCTTTATAAAGCACCCTGTACAAGCCTCGGGGTGCTGTAAAAGGTAACATTACAGGTGCTGACAGAAGATAAGTTTTGCCATACGATCAGCCCCCTGAAAGTAGTCTGCAGCCATGTCCTGACAGAAGTGCACCGCTGCAAAGCACTTCAAAAGTGCCGGATCAGGTGACAAATTAACCCTCATATAATGAGGATTCACATGAAAACACTCCAAAGCAGAGCACCTTCATTAACTTCGGTCTGTCCCTGCACACAACCAGGGCAGGGCTGATACAGCTTTGGCCCACTCCCACTGCTGTCTGCAGGATGGAAGGGAGAAAAGGGGTGGGGGGAGCTGTGGCTGGCGTTTGCCCAGTCTGCATTGGGTAGGATGGGGGCAGGTAGATTACAGTACCCCCTGCCTGGGGGGGGCTCCAATCCACCCACCCCCTCTCCAATGCAAACTGGGCAAACCCCAGGGTGCAGCCCCATCCCATCCTGCAGACATCAGTGGAGCTAGGGGCGGCGGGAGGGCTAGGGAAGAGAGGCTGTAGGCATGCAACTTCTTCTGAATCAGTTCCAAAGTGGAACTCAATTCCCCCCGCCCCACCCACCCAACAGCATACCTATTGGGGGGGGTTGCTATAACTTATGGCATTTACTGTGAAGCACCATGAGTTACAGTGGGGAGCTGAACAGTAGTGTGCTATAGTTTTGAGCTGATCCCCCACACTGCTTATATATGGAAGATTTAATCTGTAACATTCCCTTCCATTTGTGGTTTTAACTTTTCATGTAGTTTTTGTTTTGTGAATTAGGGGTATTGTTTTGCTGATGATAAAGTAGTAACATAATTACTGTAATTACATCAAATGATGCAATTCACGTAAACATGTAATTAACATGTGGAGACAACACTGGGTAATGTAATGACAACATGCAATAATGCAAAATGCTTTATTCTGCTGGGCATGTACAGTGGCAGACTTTAAAGCTCAGTACCTCAATTCTTTCTTTAGAAGTTTTTTGTTGGTTTAGAGGAGATTTGGCTTGCAATACTACTAGAAAAAAACCCACACAAAACCACCACTGTTGTTTTAGTCTTAAATTTCTGTGTGTATAACTCCTTACCTGGCCACCATCACTCCAATATCTTAGTGCCTTTGCAATATGTTCATTTTAATCCAATGCACTAGGAAAAAAAAAAAAAAATCAGGTAATCATGATGTAAACTGAATTTATAACTTTAGAAAACCTGGAATAAAATATGCTATTTTGCACTGACCATCAGCTCTGGCTTTCCCTTTTCCTTACGTTAAATCTGCCAGTGGATATTAGTTCTATATACTCAATTGCATAATAAAAATACCGAGGCTGAAAACTACTTCTAACCTCCATGTCTGTATGGTATTTGGATCATGCTCTAGAGCTATCATTGCTTTCACCAGACCAAATGCTAAATGATGCAGATAAGCATCACGAATGAGAGAAGCCAGTACCCATGACTGCAAAGCCACGCCTAGGTTAAGCCCTCCCCAGTTCAAAAGTGACTGGCACCATTAGATATAGAAATTCTGTAGCAAAGTGGGATGTCTGGTGTGCTCATTTGCATGTCAATACCCACAATGCTCTTCCGGCTACTCACAGCTATTCCATAGTAGTGCTGTTGGCTCAGATCTGGGAACACGCTCAAAAGGGTGAGGCAGCTTTTGGATGCACTTAGCTGTTTTCTGTTTGAGCTGTGAAAAGCAAATATCTTTACAAGAAAGAACATTTTGAACACTATTTTTTCCACCTATAATTTCAAAACCTTGTTTAAATTTGCAGGGAAAATTATTTGCAATTAATCATAAAATATAAACTATAAACAAAATTCTTTTGCATTGAAGAGTACGTTTTCAGCAAAAGCCAATTCTCTTCTTGTGACTGATCAACAGAACTCCAAAAATGGCAGCTAATGAACAAAATGACTGTCCTAAATCTCAGAACTGATGTCTTCTGTCCTGCCTGAACACCACGCAGTTAGACATTTATGTCCACATAAAGCTCAACTGCTTTCCATGGAAGTCTAAATACACAGAGCAGCATGAAGATCTAGGGCTTTAGCTAATCAGTTAGATTAATTTGCTTGAATATTCACAGCCATGTATCCAAAGAGATTAAGAGCATAGGAATGGAAGCTGCAGGAAAGGGGGCACTCTGGAGAGATGCTGAGTGATTTGTTCCAGTACTCAAATGCGCAGATTTGGAGAAAACAAAATCTACAGATTAAGAGAGGTGGTCTCAAGATTAGGTCTAGCTTTCAATTTTCTCCAAAAGATGGTAGTATTTAGATGGCAGGTATTACTGGCAGAAGCAAGCTGTCAAGTTGGGATCCAAATCAGAAACTATAATAAAGGCAAGTTCAGATCTGGGATTTTGTTTTAAATACTTCAGATAGAAACACAAAGCTTGCATAAACAATGTAACACAGTGAGTACATACATGTAAAGGCCTCACTTGACTATGCTGTTCTTAAGGAATACATATGGTAACAAGTCCTTGAAAACCTTGCTACTCATTACACAGCCCATGGGCTGCCTGTGCCTTGCCTACTTCAAACCCCTCTAATAATCTATTCAATCTGTTTGGCTTGGGGGAAATAAATCTGACCTCCTGCCTAGACAGGCACCCTTGTACTAACTTGGAAGGTCTATGATCTACTCAGTCCTGTGCTGGTGTGACAGGAAAGGCCTGAAAAGGCAACAGAATAGGAGGCCCATTTTTCCAAGTGAAGGAGGGAGAATATTCTCTAGAGGAATAGTAAAAAAACAGACAGGAATAAAAGAGGAAGCAGCAAATGATTTGAGAAGAAACAACATAAAAGCAAGGACGACAACGGAGGACAGATACAAAGAAGGAGAGTATTACATAAGTAGGGTAAAGATAGAGCAGGGACCACAGGAGGGAGGAGATAATGAAGTAGGGGGAGGGTCCATTAATGAACTAGAGAGACTAACGAGGAGATTTTCTTGCCTTTGAGGACATTACTCTCAGAAGTGAAAATAAACTCAGTCAGAATCACACTTCTCTGGTTATTTATATCCATTCATGTATATAAAAATAGCCTGTTGCTGTGGCATCTGGGTATAGGTCTCAATCTCAAATCATCACAGTTCATGGCTTACTTTTACCTTAAACTCAGAGATGTTTCACATATCTGCAGCAATTCGCAGGCATTTAAGCAGGGGTGGGGGAGAGACCAAGCTTTTTCCAGTACAGAATGTCTCTGCTGAACATTTGAGTTTATCCTGAAATCAAGTAAGAGGGCATCATGATTTCTGGTTCAAGGGAATCAGTTTGGACACTGCAGTTTAACAAGAGTAAGATGGTGTTAAATAACTGTCGAGGCCAAAGGGGAAACTGCTCCGAGCGAAGCTGTCCCGCTCCCCCAGCGCACACAGGCAGCATTCTCAAACAAACAACTGCCCACTGAGCTGGCAGCTCTTACTATGAGCACAATTGAGCTTCCGTCTCTGGATGTTTGAATTAGGATCCCAATCAGCTACCACCAGAGTCAATGGATTTTGCTGTAGGCACAAAAATGACCTCTTTTTTTCCTATTTGTAAAAATATCTAGTTGTGTAATAAACAGAACCTCCCCAAATTAATTCTTTGGATAAATTGCAAGAGGTAACGTACCAAAAAAAATGGAGGGGCCAGAGTCATTTTTACTGAATTTTAAACATGCACTTTAAAACAAGCTTTGGCTGCTGGATATAGGAGGAAACACAAAAGCAGTGATATTACATTTATTTGCATATACAGCTTACAATTTATGAATGCATGCAGGCAGGTAAGACATTCGTTTTGTCAGAAATTACAGTCTCTGTAAACTTCTTCTTTAATCTCTTCCCATATAGTGCTCCATTGTTTTCCCCAGTTTTTGATTACTTTGCAATCTGGGAAGCAGGGTATTGCAGTATCATTCATATTTTGCTACTACAGATGGGGAGCAGAGGCACAGAGAGTAGGTAATCTTGGCCAAGGAGTCTGTGGTGGAGCTAAGAATTGAAACCAGGTCTCCCAAGTCCCAGGCTAGTGACTTGACCAGCTTTCCAGACCTCACAGCATGGCCTTCATCACCATGGTATCAGAGTTTGGGGAGAGTGACAGTTTACGAGTGTGATTAGAATAGTAATATGGGACAAATCCTACCTCCCTGCTAATCCATGCTTCTCTGAGGGCCCTGGTGTCATTAAATCTACCCTTTCCAGTCCCTTTTCCTTTCCCCACACACACTGAACTGTTGGGCAGCTCTGCAGCAATGGCAGTACAGGTGAGGACAGAAGTTGCATCCTACAAACCTTGCACAAAGCAAGAAGCAGCGAAGAGAGCAGTGATGGAGTCCACATAGTCCTAATTTACCACAGCTTCTAAGGAATCCGAGGCATAACAGGGCAGCTCCATACCTTAGGCAGAGACAACACATGGGGGAGCAGTGGCATGGCTAGCTACTATCTGTACCTATTTTTGCACTCCCCACCAAGGCAAAGCCTAGAGCTGCTGCCCCAATAACCCCTGACCATCATCCCTCCCCCCCAGTTACACTGCTGTAAGGAATGGATCAAAACGTTAACCCAAACTACTGAAGATGGATGAAAAGCCTAGGATCCCTCCCCTCCCACATAAGGAACTATGGACCCAGACAGTGGACTCTGCCTAAACCTACAAGTTCCTATGGGCTGCAAGACATCATATGTGGATGTCTGGGCAATTAAAATACAAAAGGAAACCCTCCATATAGGTCTCAATATATTGTTATTTGGGGGCTAGCTCTGTATTTCATCCATGTGATTTAGTGTTTTCTTTTCATTTCACAATAGCCTAGGTATTTAAAGTGTCTGCCAAAAAGTTCTCAGAAGCCCTTGCTTTCAGGAAAAATGGTATTTAATCTGAAGACTTCTGAAGAGGAACAACTGTTTATTCCTGCCACTTAATGAACATTAATTTCCTGTTTCAGAAAACTTAATTTATGCCACTGGTAAAGCTGATATTTATCTTAATGCATAACCTTTTGGCTGGCTTAGTTTTTCATATTCTCCAGTTCCTCTAGCTTGCAGACACATTGCAACCTGTGGACTCAGCAAGTAGAATCGGCAGTCTTCTAAATGTTACTCAAAGGCTTCAAACACGCAACAGGAGAGTCTGATAGCAGACGAGACGGGTCCAAAGTTATTTTGCATAATTAAAAGAAAGCTAAAAATAATATTTATAATAGTTCTCTGAAGACAGGAATATATTTTCCTTTCTACTTCAAAATTTAGACAAAACAAATGCAACATACCCTAAGCAATTCTAATGCTTGCCAGGCTAAACAAATATTTGCTGTGTTGTCTTGTTACTTGCTTGTTATAGAATAAAGGCCCTGCAATGCAACTTTCCTATAAATTGTGGAAAAAAGAATCTTGTATTGTGTACTTGTTGCTAGGTTACTAGGATGGAAGAGAATATTTTTTGCAGACATTATGAGCTAACAAGGTAAATAAGGGGACTCCATTGATTGTAAATTTCACACTTAATTTTCAACAGCAAATCTTTTCAGAGCTGAGATCTCAGTGACATTTTATATGTAGAATAATTTAAAATCAATTCAATTAGTCTGGGATTACACTTGTGTTACTTAGATGAAAATAGAATTTTATTTCCTAAAGGTAGCTGGAGAGTCAACAAATGCAAAGCTCTGACAAATTACTAATTTACAAAATTACTAATACTGTAACAAGTAATTTTACATCTTTTACATAGTCATTTAGCAAGTAATTTTGTTAAACAAAAATAGCAACTTTGCTAAGATATTTTAAAATATTGTATTATTGTGATCACTGAAGTAAAATATACCTAATATTTAAAGAGCAACATGTATTGTAATAAGTGACCCAAGTGTTAAGTCTATTTTGCAGAGAAACCAGAAAAATCTTTGATTTCTGCATTTCAAATATCGTCAACCTTTTTTTTCCCCCTTCACTGAGCATTCTAAAGTCTCTGAACTTCCTTATTTGGCCTTGTCTACAAAAAGTTTCTACACTGCTTTAGGTAAATCAGAGCAGCCTCCTTAGTATAGAGGCCGCTAAAGTGATATAAAATGGTTTTAAAATTGTGCCTACAGAAACACTAG